CTCTCTCTCTCTCTCTCTCTCTCTCTCTCTCTCTCTCTCTCTCTCTCTCTCTCTCTCTCTGCATCTCTTTCTCTCTCTCTGCTTCTCTTTCTTTTTCTCTCTTTTTTTCTTTCTCTGCCTCTCTCTCTCTCTCTCTCTCTCTCTCTCTCTCTTTCTCCTTTTTCTTCTGGACATTTTAAAATTCTTCTGCAATCTGAAATTCGTCTTAACGATTTTCAATCGCTATCGAGAAAATTATTATAAAAAAATCCGTCAAGATCTATCTATCTATTTCATTTTATCGTATTAAACATCAAAAGTTATTGTCGCAATGATATATATATATATCGATTCTTTAAACGTAACGTAGCATGTAATAAAGATGCAGCGCATTTCTTCGATGCTCTGCATCACGGACTAATCTGACATTCCAGCATCCCCCTTCTCTTTGACCAGCGACCATAAACATCAAAAATCACCCTCAAGAGGTCGATATTTACCATTCTCGAGCATTCGTGGCACGCGTTGACCCAGAAAACCATCCCCCCTCCTCCTCCTCCTCCTCCTCCTCTTTCTCGGCCCTCGTCAATTTCCCGATCGTAGCAAGCTGATTCAACGGCTCGAATCGAATAAATACGGGATAAGCCCTAGGATTCTTCTGCACGGATCGAAGGATTCTTCTTCCAGTTTTGTAATAATGAATTTTAAAATAAGTCTTTACAAAAATCTGCTCTCCTTTACACGAGACTACGATACTGGCCAGATTCTCGTTTCTCGTTCTCCAAAATCTCTTCCATATTCTTTCTTTCGATCTGAATAACGGATAAATAGGAAAGATTGTTGGTTCACTTGAAAAAAAAAAAAAAAATAGGAAAATCAATTGACCTCTTGTGATAAAGAAGATTGCACCTCAAAACTCGTATCCAAATGTCATTTGATCTTCATGATCTTCATGAAGGAGGCAGGGGGCACATTAAGGGCAACCTACTTTTCTCCAGACTGCACAGATTGGGTTGATTGATGTTCGAACATCTTCTGCTCGAGCTAGTTCGACGAAGGGTTTGACACGAAGAACTTGTAATCCTGATGAGATTGGGGTTGCGCCCTTGGGATGTAACGATGATTGGACCAAATATATATATACATACAGCAACTAGTAATATAAATCATCATTTTTATCATTCGTACTTTCTTGTTGAAATGAAAATAAAATAAAAATTCGAATGCTTATATTCATAACAATTAATTTATATACATTTATATATACAATTTCATTGATTTACCCTTTTTATATCCCACGCAATGCGCAATGAAAAAAAAAAAAAAGATGCAACAGGTAACTAATTATACCCATGCTAACGAGATTGATATCTATTTACGATCCACGTTGAAATATCATCGGCCAATATATTGTATCTCCGATTTCCAACAAGAGCTCGCCTGTATCCAGCAACTTCCTTTAATTAAATCACGCGCCTTCCCACGCGTGCACGTGCGTGAATTATTTCACGCTTTTCCCAGCGAAAATTACCCCCTCCCTGCGAGAGGGGAAGGACAAAGGTCGAATCAACGACGCATTAAACTATCAATATATATAATGATAAAAGCGTCATCGATATATTCACGGATTAATTGATCCTGGTTTAATTGGCTTGTGATCTCTGTTGGTGAACAGGTTGAGCTCGATAGTTTGAGAGGGGGCTATTTTTTTGGAATTTTTACAATATGCATTTTATATAAGAAAAATAATTTCGAGGTTTCAATTGTTTCACGTTTTCTCAACGATTGGTTTCAAGTGATTTCCTAGATGCAATGCAAATGTTGTAGACAGAATGTAAACTGTAATTGTGTGTTCCAATAATCGTTTTCGTAATTACACAGCGTCTCGATTGAACGATGTTTGGATATGATCGATGGGAATCGAATCGTGAACCAGAGATTGGAATAGAATGTAAATTGTGTACGATTGATGATATATTGATCGATAGAAAGAGGCGTTGATCGAAAAGTTTAGAAATTTGATCAATATCGAAGGTGTAATTAGGTATAATAATCTTCTTTTCGTTGAATTAATTGTATAATTGTATAGTAGATAATTTATTTCTAGGATCAAGAAGGATCGTCTGTTCAATTTCGTTTGTATGATAATCTCGTTTTAATGGAACGATCGTTTCGATCGGAGGAGGAGGCATTGATCGAGTATCGAGCGAAAATATGTTTTATAATTGATTTGAAACGGAAATTGGCACGAATCGGGCAGCGTGTTTCTACTTTTAGGTGGATGTTATAAATTTTAGTTGCTGCGTTGTTTTCGCTTATAAATAAATTTCGATTGTGAAAGTTGAACGATTTCCAACGATTTCTTCGAATTTCGTAAAATCGAACGAATATTTCTTTTCTTTCTCCTCTGAGAATTATGAACGATGAAACGATTTCTCTTTTAAATGGATCCCCTCTTCCTTCAGAATTTTTCCATTCAAAATTCAAGAAGTTCAAGATTCGAAGAAGAAAACAACAATGTTTCATGCAGTTTTGTTTTTTTTTCTGCTTTAATTTCAAATTAATTTTTCCTCATCTCCAAATTAAAATTGGATCGATCGAAAAGAAAAAATAAAAAATAAGAAAAGAATAATAATAAAGAGATGGTGTACAGTTTGCAACCGATAGAGAACGCCACACGCCTGCATGAATTATTTAGAGCGCAGCTTTTGGGAAACACGTTAAGTAAACGTCAAGTTCATTGCAAGCCTAAATGTTCGCCCATTGATCCTCCCCTCGTTGTATCACGCTTGACACATCGATTCGAAAAGTAGAAGAGAATTGATCCTTCCTTCGTTTGATCTTGCAGCCATGGCGAGGACCTCATCGTCACGCCGTTCGCGCAGATCCTTGCCTCTCTGCGCTCGGTCAGGAACAACTTCCTGTCGCTTACTAATGTGCCCACCAACAAGTGAGTAATCGAAATTTCACGTATTTAAAATTTACATATTTATTAAATATTTATTAAATATTAATAATTAATAATTTATTAAATAAAAGTAATTATTTTTTTTCTTTTTTAATAAAATCTGTAAGATGATACACATTATTTAAAATGTAATAAACATTTTGGATAAGCGTTTGAAAATTGGGAAATCCAAAGAAATTGCAACAGAATCTTACATATTGGTGTTGAAAGTTGGATGTCTCGGCTATTGTTGTTTGAAAAAAATCAGCGATATTTGAAATTTAACTCCAATATGGTTGAATTAAGAAACTCGAAATTTTCTTTTCTTGAGTTTCAAGATGTCTCCTTTTCTTTAGGATCATTACTGAACGCTTAAATCATCTTGCAGATCTTATCCAATTGTTTGTTATATCGATGTATTGTTTCTGATTTTATCAATAGATACCTTTTTTTTTTAATTATTCATCAATTGTAAAATAGTTTAGTTTTTAAAAATTTTTACAAATCTACGATTTTATAAAATCAAAAGAAAAAAAAATTCAACAATAATTTTATTCTTCTAAAACAATTGTTTGATTATTTTTTTCATCAATTTCTGATTTTATTATAGACATCTTTTTTTAATTATTCATCGATTGTAAAATAGTTTAATTTTTACAAATTTTTGCAAATTTATGATTCTATAAAATTAAAAGAAAAAAAAAATTCAACAATAATTTTATTCTTCTAAGACAATTGTTTGATTATTTTTGTCATTAATTTCTGATTTTATTAATAGATATCTTTTTTTAAATTATTCATCGATTGTAAAATAGTTTAATTTTTAT